CCTGCTGGCTATCCCAGCAGCTGACGCGGACAAGGGCTATGCCGTGCAGATCTCCCACGAGGAGGCGGTGCTAGCCAATCAGACCATGGCGTACCTGCAGTGCGCGCTGCTGTACACGTCAAGCTGCGGCGAGAGAAGGATCCGCGTGCATACTCTTGCCGTGCCGATAGTGAGAGACATGGCTGAGCTGTACCGGCGCTGTGACATGGGGGCGACCGCAACTGTCCTGGCCAAGATCGGTGAGTCGTCATCTCCTGATGGTGCCACTGTCCTGGCAAAGATGGGGATGGGTAGGATCCGCGTGCATACGCTTGCTGTGCCGATCGTGTGAGACATGGCTGAGCTTTACAGGAGATGCGATGTGGGGGCGACTGCCACTGTCCTGGCAAAGATTGGTGAATCTTGTCTTGGGACCTTTTGAGCCACCTTGTCGTCGCCCTTGAGTCCCTGCAGCTGCTGTGCGCCCAGCCTGCTGCACTCTCCGTTGTGGGGGGAGAGGAGAGACGCGTTTTCTCCCCCCTCCGCCTGCCCCCTCCCCTTGCTCTCTCTCCTCTCTCTCCACCCTCCGGTCAAGAAGGGTCAAAAATCTCTTTCGAGAACTCTCAAAAATCTATTTTAAGAATTCTTAAAAATCTCTTCTGAGAATTCTAAAAGACGCGTTTTCTCCCCCCTCCATCTGCCCCCTCCTCTTGCTCTCTCTCCGCTCTCTCCACCCTCCGGTCAAGAAGGGGGCAGGGGACTCTGCCTGCACCCATCTGTCAATTCTTGAGGCGCCTCAAAGATGGACTCTGCATCCCTCTGTGAAGCATCTCTGGACGAGAATCTCCTGACACAGGGGGCAAGAATCGTTCGCATCCCATCCCCACCACAAACCCCTGCTCCCTTCCCTTCTTTCCACTCACCCTTCCCCCCTCCCTCCTCACTCCCTCGGCCATCTCTCCCCCCTAGCTCTTGACGATTCCCTCACGTCTCGCCTGGAGGAGTGTTGCCAGCTCATCTCCCATCTCTCTTCCTCTCCTCTCTTGTATCCCCCTCTCCCCCCCCCAACCCCCCCCCCCAGCTCTCGACAAGTCCCTCACATCGCGCCTGGAGGAGTGTCGCCAGCTCATCCAGAACAAGACAACGCTTGCCCTCCGGGAGTACCGCATCCTGACGGCCGGCTCCGCCGCCCTCTCCCGCACGTCCGGCTACGGCATGCCGCCCCCATCTCCGTCCAACCCCTATGGCCCGCCTCAGTCGCACCTGCACCAGCCGAACCTCCCCCAACAGAGGCTCGTTTTCCCCGAGTCACTGCGGCTGTTGCCACTCTACACGCTGGCGCTCTGCAAGAGCCCGGCGCTTAGGGGTGGTTTCCAGGAAATGGGGGCGGATGCGCGGGCGGCAGCAGCGTTTGAATTGATGGTGGTGTCGGTGGGGCGGACGCTCAGGATGCTGTACCCGCGGCTTATTCGCGTGGATGCCATGCCGGCACAGGTGAGCGTCGCATGTATCTGTGCTTGAGGCGTGTCAAACACGTGGTAGGTGGTGTCGGTGGGGCGGACGCTCAGGATGCTGTACCCGCGGCTTATTCGCGTGGATGCCATGCCGGCACAGGTGAGCGTCGCATGTATCTGTGCTTGAGGCGTGTCAAACACGTGGTAGGTGGTGGCGGCAGGACACACGCTCAGGATGCTGTACCCGCGGCTAGTGCGCGTGGATGCATGCCAGCGCAGGTGAGAGTCGCATGTATCTGTGCTTGAGGCGTGCCGAAGCCTTTGGAAAATATGGCGGTGTGTCGGTGGGGCGGACGATCAGGATGCTGTACCCGCGAGTGATGCGCGTGGATGCTGTACCCGCGAGTGATGCGTGTGGACTTCATGTCATGCCAGCGCAGGTGAGCTTTGTTTTCTCCTGCGTTTTCTCCTGCGTTTTCTCCTGCGTTTTCTCATGCGTTTTCTCCTGCGTTTTCTCCTGCGTTTCTCCTTTCTCTGCAGAGCTGGAAGGTCCGCTCAGCATGCTTCAACCAACCTCCTCCCACTTCCAACCAACCCTAACCAACACCGCCAGCCCCCACTCTCTTCCACCCCTTCTCTCCCACCCTTCTTTCCTCTTCTCCCTCCCCACCCCCTTTCTGCCCGCCTTCTTTCCTGCAGTGCGGGGTGTCACGATCCCCTGCGCCATGCCTCTGCATTGATCTCCCTTGCACTCTGGGTTGCCACGTTCGCCATGGCTCTGCTTCACCCTCACCGTCTTACCCCCTCACCGCCTTATCCCCTCCCGCAGTGCGGGGTGGCAGACGAATCCGGCATTGTCACCATCCCCCGCGCCATGCCGCTCGCCACGTCATCGCTGGACCCGCAGGGCGCGTTCCTATTGGACGACAGCACCGGCCTCACCCTCTGGCTGGGCGGCGCACTGCCAGCTGGCACCGCCGCCCAGATCGTCGGGCAGGACGCTCTGAACGCCCCGGACATAAACCAGGTATGGGAGGGGGGTTGTTGAAGGGCTCAATGGTGGTTCTGAGGGTCTGAGTGAGGTTGTCAGGGTTTGAGGTGGGTTTTTAAGCCCGGTTTAGAGAACAGACACTAGGTGCGCAATAGTCTAGCCAGTTGTGCCGGCTGCCACTGCTGCGGAGGAGGATGCTGTGAACGCAAAAGGTGATACAATGCTCCTGGTGCCCTCTTGCTGCTTGGATCTGTGATCGCTTTCTCCTTGCTACTCCTCTGCTTAGTGGCGCTGAGTCGGCTGAGCTGGCTGAGCCGGCTGAGTTGGCTGAGCCGGCTGAGTCGGCTGAGTTGGCTGAGTCGGCTGAGTTGGCTGAGCTGGCTGAGCCGCCTGAGTTGCCTGAGTTGCCTGAGTTGCCTGAGTTGCCTGAGTTGGCTGCCTATCCTGTGGTGGGCTGGGCGTCATGCCATTGACTCCATTTCTCTCCACTCTCTCCTTCCCGTCCTACCGTTTCCTCCACCTTACGTCTCGCTCCTCTCCCTTCCCCTCTCACCTCGTTTCCGGTCAGGTTCCGTTCATTCCGCCGCCCGACAGCCCTCTTGCCGCCCGCATCTCAGCCATAGTAGATGCGCTGCGCAGCGGAGATTTCCCGGGCGGCAACGGCAGCAGAGGGGGAGGTGAGGTTTGTCACCAAGCGGTGCAGCTGCTGCGGCAGGGCGGCAGTGGTGAGCTGGCGTTCTACCATTCGTTCGTGGAGGATAGGAGCGCCACGGGGATGGGGTATGGGGAGTTTGTGGTGCACCTGGCGAGGCAGGTGCAGGTGAAGTGAGGTTGGGGAGAGGGAAGGGGGTAGAGACGAGGTGAGAAGAGATGGTAGAAGTGGTGTAGTGAGGGGAGAGGGATTGAAGGGTTGCCATGAGATGGGGTATGGGGAGTTTGTGGTGCATCTGGCGAGGCAGGTGCAGGTGAAGTGAAGGAGAGAGGTGGATTGAAGGGGGTAGAGACGAGGTCGGAAGAGGGGGTAGACGTGGTGTAGTGAGGGGAGGGGAATTGAAGGGGTGTCACAGGGATAGGGTATGGGGAGGTTGTTGTGCACCTGTCGAGGCAGGTGCAGGTGGAGTGAGGAATGGGGAGAGAGAAGGTAAGGAAATAGGAGGGGTGTAGCGAGGGGAGAGGAGGGTAAGACATGCCATAGGGATGGGGTATGGGGAGTTGTGGTGCACTTGGTCAGGCAAGTACAGGTGAAGTGAGAAGGGAGTTGTTTTTACTGCTATAATACTTACCTACTACTACATCACAGTATTCCTAGTAATACCCGGAGGTAGAAAATTGTATGGTACATGGCCGCAAGTTCATGCTCCTAGCGGAGGGATCACTGGTCACAGTTTAGGTTGTGAAGCGTACAGGGAACAGCAGCAAGGTTTTCGGATGAACTATGAGTTTGAGAGTTTGACGTATCCAAGATGGAGTTGGGTTGACGTATGTGCAAGCAAGCTGGACAGGTGGTTGGTTGAGAGATAGCAAGCCTTGATGCTAAAATTGGATGAGTTGCATTAGCCTTTGAGCTGTAAGAATGACGGACGTGTTTAAGTTTTTTCTATAATATTCGTCCTTGGCGCGAACAGCCACGTTCTAACGAGGACGCTGAACTATCAGGCGTTTTTTTCTTTCTAGTGTCAGAATGCTTGCTCCCAGATTCGAGGAATCGACAGATCTACACCCAAATCAAAATACAACCGACAGGAATGCACCCGAATATTTCGCGCCAATGAGAGGCGAGATTCTTGCGCATGCGCAGTCAACTGTTTCGGACTGACGTGTAGATTTGTGCATTCGCGACAAAACTTTCCAGCAAAATTCGTTGCGCTGCAATTGGGCAGAATGCCAAAATGGACAATGACATTTTGGGCAGCGTTTTGGGCAAATAAATAAAACTCATAGGGGCCCGACATGCCATTCGAGATGGCATCAACCCTAGACTCGCGGCCCTTTTTCGAGTTTAGGTTTGATGCCACCCCGAGTCCGAAGCTGGGTCCCTATGAGTTTATTGTTTTGTCGGCTGCGCAGAACTACTCGTACGTATACATCGCCCAGCATGTGGCTGACTGTGTCAGGGCTGGGCGATTTTGTAGCAAATCGTTGATTCGAAGATTCGGGTGCGTTTCTGTCGGGTACATTTCGATTCGGGTGTAGATCTGTCGTTTCCTCCCCAGATTCCAAGTGGCCACTCTGGTTGTCTGAGTGAGCTATACCAAAGCATATTTTCATTAACGGCGTCGGGTCAAAAAGTAGTGACGAAGTCATCTCAGTTCAGTTCAGTCGGATGGACCTTGAAATCGGTTTTCTGTGATCTCTGCAACCCAATTACACTCCGTCTCACACAACTTGGCTAGAGTAACATGGTTTGGGATCCTCATACGATTGTCAAACGATTTCAGAACGTTCTTAAAGTGAAAACAGCTGCATTTTAGTTTTGCAACGCGCCCCTAGTGCTAATGTTTTGTCACTCCCTCCAATCTGCACGAGACCTGTCTGCGAAACAAGCATGGAGTGAAACTCGGCATTGCAGGCATGCTGCTCTGTTAGACTAGACCCCGCGAGAGCCCTGAGTTCTTAGTTGTCAGCCGTCGCTCATAAGCCGGCATCTATCCTTCGCCCTCAGCTTCCTACTAGACTCGTCAGTGTAGTACCCTGATAACCCGACCTTTCTTCGTCCAATTCTCGTCCGATATTCCTGACGGATACCGTTGGTCGTCTTCCACGTCTACTCTTAAGGAATCCGCGTCACTTCTCCGAAACAGTCGCCTTTGAGTACCCGCTGAGAATAACTCGCTTTTCCGGGTATCGCAGTGAGAGGTCGCATTCAGTCGCATTCAGTCGCATTCAGTCGCAGAGCTGTGCTGATTTTCCCTATGAGACATGATTGATCAGGGAGCCTGAACGTCTGACATGCGTGAATAGCCTGGTCGCAGGAGCCAGTTTAAACGGCCAAATTTAGGAATCAAATATAACAGAAGGTTCTGCGACGGCCGGCGGATAGGAAGAAGCGTATTACGCTCTGCAGAACCTGCTTACGATCCTCACAAGCGACGGCTGTGCGAGATGGTGTCCAGCCGGCGAGCGGTGCTCCCTGAGGGGTCGCGGGTGGCGTGCCTCGCTTCCTGGGACAACCTCTACCGTGAGTCGTTTCCTCTCGTTCATGTTTATTTTTCTCTCTTGTTCTTTTGGCTACGACTGGTCACGTGACCGTGAGCACTGAGCCCACCCACCCACACATTATTAATGGCTTTTGAGTCGACTCTAAAATCACTATCTTATTTTCCCTCTCTATTGTTTTTCTGGCTACGACTGGTCATGTGACCGTGAGCCCAGATTAATCACCCAGTCCACCAACCCACACAATCCGCAAATGCCACCTCAATGCAACAGAGTCACCTACCCTTGCTTGACGAATCATCCTCCCTCGCTGCAGACGCTGGCGAGGTGGTAACCACCGGATGTGACCTTAGGTTTGTCTCAAAAGTCACCTTGAAGTTACCGAACCCTTGATAAGCTGAGCACCCCTCTCTCTATCCCGCATTCTCCCTGCAGACGCTGGAGAGGTGGTTACCACCAGACGTGCTGCTGGTAGGGATGGGAAGGGGGCTGGCTTGGCAGCAGGTTCAGTAGCAGCAGGCCCGGAAGCAGTAGGTTCGGCGGCTGCAGGCGCGGCGCTGGCGAGGAAAGGAGCTGACTTTGTGGATGCTTCGTCAGTGGAGTACTATATACACTATGTGGAATGTGAGTGCTGAGGCTCTAAAATGATGTTCTCAGGTGCCTCAATAACTGACTTTGTGGATGGTCCAGGTCCGCTGCTCAACGCATGCAGACAACAAGCGGCTGGACGAATTGTTGGGGGAGAGCCGAGTGGAGGTTTCCCCCCACCTTTTCCACTCTCTCCCGCCTTCCTTCTCTTCCCCCATGTCCGCCTCTTGCTGCATGCAGACAACAAGCGACTGGACGAGTGGGTGGGGGAGAGCCGAGTGGAGCCATGGACCACCATGGATGCCCCCATGCATGAGCATGAGCATGCGTATGGGCATGAGCATAGCCATGATTATGACTTCAAGCATGATCACATGCATGACCATACCCATAAGCATGACCGTACCCATAAGTATGACCATACCCATAAGCATGACCACCATCATGAGAATGAGCAAAAGCCATTACAAAGTCACATGCAAGAGCATCATGCTGACGTGGACGCCAAGAGGCGTGCTGACCTGGCTGCTGATGTGGACACAAAGGCCCACTCTCCTGCTGCTGTTGGTGAGTGACAATGCATGTTGTGGCATTGTCTCGGCATGCCGCGGCATGTGTGCTCCCATACTTGTTTGTTGTGCTCTCATTGTCCCGCTGCCTCCTGAATGGAGGAGGCGATTAGATGCACCTGGCGCTGCTGCTGCTGCTGCTGCTGCTGCTGCTCCAGGGCTGCAAGAGGGGATTTTTGAGGCGCCTAAAGCACTTGCTGAATTCCATTTCCCCTCTGCCTGCCTGCTTGCCTGAAGTCTTAACAGGCCCCAAGAGGAGACGACTAGACGCACCTGGCGCTGCTGCTGCTGCTCCAGGGTGGCAAGAGGGGATACTTGAGGCGCCTACAAAGCTTGACTCCAGGGCCGCTGCAGGGGTGAAGGAGGAACCAGATTCTGGTGGTGGTGGTGGTGGTGTAGGGAGTGGGTGTGGAAGTGGGAGGCGGGACAGGGATGGAGCAGAAGACAAGGGAAGGGAAGGGAGGTTGAAGGAGGGGGGAGGTGGGAACGCAGCTGAAGATGCGGCTGCTTTGGAGCGGCAGATGAGAGTGAAGAACGTTGAGACGGTGGAGATTGGGGAACACGAGATCGACACATGGTGAGTGGTGGGTGGGATTGCTGGTGAACTAGGGGCGAGAGGCTGGCATGGCAGTGGCTGGGGGAGGTGGTGAGAATTGGGGGTGCTTTGGAGCGGCAGATGAGTGTGAAGAATGTTGAGATGGTTGAGATTGGCGAACACGAGATCGACAAACGGTGAGCAGAGTTTTCTGGTTCGAGGCCTAAGAATATACTGTTTGGAATCTGTCGATTGTTACATCTATGATCTGTGTTTGGATCTGTCCCTTGTGTATTTGACGTTTCACGAGTATGCGCATGTGTGTGCATGTGTGTGCATGTGCGTGCATGTGTACGCAAGTGTGTGTGCATGTGTTCGTGCATGTGTGTGTGCATGTGTGGGTGCATGTATGTGATCAGGTAGCATGTTCATCAGAAGCATGCATTCACGCATGCATGCCATTGTAACGTGCTTACTTCTCCCCACATCCACCCCACCTCACCAGAAACGGCCATCTATATATTTGTGGCAATTGTCTCAAGTACGCTGTGCGGGTCGTTGAACCTGTCAGCACCCATCGACACCAATCAACCCCCATCAACAGCCCCTTCATTGATAGGCAACTGTCACAGACTCTGTGCCCACTATCCATGCATACTCTGTGCGCAGGTCCTTCTCCCCGTATGGTGTTTTTGAGAATTCTCAAAGGCACCCTTCATTCACACACACTATTCATGCATCCTCTGTGAGCAGGTACTTTTCCCCGTACCCGCCCCACCTTACCAAAAGCGGCCGCCTGTTCATCTGTGACGCGTGTCTCAAGTACTCCAACAGTCCAACGGCATACGAGCGGCACCTGGTGAGTTGGTGCCTTTGGTTAGGGTGCTGTCAAATTCGGAGCAGCTAGCCTTGTCTGTTCACCTGTGACGGGTGTCTCAAATGCTCCAACAGTCTGACAGCCTACGAGAGACATGTGGTGAGCCAGTGCCCTTGGATGGAGTAATTTCTGAGAGTTTTAGAAAAAACGTATCTCAGATTCTTATCAAGCTTGTGAGCCTTCAGCCTTACAGCCTGAAGCGTGTTGCCTTTTGAGTCGACTCAAAAGTCATCGCGTGTTGCTGGTGAAGCTGAGCCACTTGGTCTGCCACAAGGGTCTCAAGTACGCATTTTGAGTCGGCTCGGCTCAAAGAACTCCAGCTACCACACACACAACCCAGCCTATGGGAGATACCTGTTCGTGAGTCAGTGCCACGCACCTGAATGCCCCTTCATTTGCAACACCTGTCGGATGTATGCCAACCAACACACGGTCTAGGAGAGAGAGAGAGAGCCACCGGGCGAGTTGTGCCTTTGAGGTGCTGTCAAGGCCGTGAGCCTCCACCCTCGCCGCCTGTTTGTCTCTTCATCTGCCACACGTGCCTCAACTCAATCACTCCAACAGTCCGACCGACGGCGACGCCCTACGGAAGTGCTCAGCTCATATGGTGAGTTGGTGCTTCTGGAGTGGTCGTGTTGTGAGCCTCCACCCACCCTCCACCCACCCTCACCAACTGAGCGATTGTTGGCTCCCCATGGGCCACATATATGTCTCAATCACTCCAGCATCCCGGCAATTCCTAGTCTGAATAGGCCACATTCTGGGCGCCTCTGATGTCTTCATGCCCTTCCCTGATGCTCCACCCACCCCCATCCAGGTGAAGTGCCGGCAGATTCACCCGCCAGGGAAGGAGGTTTGCCTCTGCAGGCCGCGTTGTGTGGCGCCTCTAATTGCATTCCTTCTCCCGATGCTCCCCGCCCACCCCCCACTCCAGCCTCCCAACCAGGCGAAGTGCGGGCAGATTCTCCCGCCAGGGAAGGAGGTTTGCCTCTGCAGGCTGCGTTGTGAGGCGCCTTTAATTGCATTCCTTCTCCTGATGCTCCCCCACCCCCAACCCCCCTACCAGGCGAAGTGCCGGCAGATTCACCCAGCAGGGAAGGAGGTTTACCGCCGCGGCAGACGGTGTTGTGAGGCGCCTCTGATTGCACTCCTTCCCGCTGCTGCTTCCCCGCCCCCAACCCCCCCACCAGGCAAAGTGCCGGCAGATTCACCCGCCAGGGGAAGAGGTCTACCGCTGCAGGCTCCTTCCCCCCAATCCTGCTGCCCCCTCCACCACACCTCCCCATAAACCTGTCGCTGGTAACCTCATTTTCCCTCTGCCCAACGCCCCTGATGCTGAGCCTGCTGCGGCAGCAGCAAGCACTTTTGGGGGCGGAGGCATCAGGCCGGTTACTGACGGGGCTGCGGGGGGCGGTAAAAATGGGTGTGCAAGTGGGTTAGGGGCAGCGGGTGGGCCTGTTGTTGCCAGCACTCGGGTGAATGGCAACCTGGCTGCGTCTGCTGCTGCTGCCGCTGTGGCAGCAGCCGCAGCGGTATGTAATGCAGCAGATGCTGGTGTAGGGGGGGAATTAGGAATGGGAGGAGGAGGAGGAGGAGGAGGAGGAGGAGGAGGAGGAGGAGGAGGAGGAGGAGGAGGAGGAGGAGGGAGGAGAGAGGGCAGTGAGACTGGGACGGCAGCTACAGGCACAGAGACTGCTGCTGCAGCAGAGGCGTTTGCAGCTCTGCAGTTCAGAGTCTCGGGGGGAGGGGGGGATGGCACCTCTGGTTCGGATGCTGCTGCTGCCCCTGCTGCTGCTGCTTCTGATGCCGCTGCTGCTTCCGACGTTGCTGCTGCGTCTGATGCTGCTGCTGTAACGGATGCCTCAGGTGGTGTTTCTGGTGGGGTTGTTGCTGGTGCTGTTGTTGCTGGTGGTGGCAGTAAGGGTGCTACAGGCCTCGCTGAGTCCACTGTTGCTGCGGTGAGTGGCAGGGGTACATATTGCGGCGAATTTGATGCACACGAGGAAAAGAACGAGGCGAAGGCGGCAGGTGCTGCTGCTGCTGGTGGTGGTGGCACTATGGGTGCTGATGGTGGTGGTGGTGGTGCTGCTGCTGCTGCTGGTGGCACTATGGGTGCTGATGGTGGTGCTGGTGGCACTACGGGTACTGGCTTAGAAAAGCAAGCTGCTGATGTGGCAGGGACGGAGGACGGACGAGAAATTCTAAGGCATGAGAAGCCGGGGGCTGGACTGGGGGGGTTGTTGCAGCAGAGGGGAGTGGGTGGGAAGGGAGAGCGGCAGGGGAACGAGCAGGATGCATCAGCCAAAGGGTGCATGGATGCAGGGGGACAGGGTGATGAGGAGCAGAGATCTGGCAGGGGTGTAGAACGGCAGGGTGGTGGAGGAGAGGGCGGAGGTGCAGGCAGTGGTGGTGGTGGCATGCTGCATGTGTTTAGGGTTGATCCAATGGAGGCCAAGCTTTTCTGCCAGGTGAGTGGGGGGACGGGGGAGTGGGATGATGGGGAGTGGGGGGATGGGGAGTGGGGGGATGGGGAGTGGGAGGATGGGGAGTGGGGGGGTGGGAGGGGGGGATGGGAAGGATGACGGAGATGGGGGTGGCTAGGAAAGTAATGCCTGTGGCCGGCTGCATTCGTTTGAGTTTCTCAATCTCCTCTGTTTCTTCTGCGACTTTACTATCTTCCACTTCCCTTCCAGTGCCTGTGTCCGCTGGGCAAGCTGTTTCTCGAGCCCAAGCCTGAGTCTATTCCCTTACCCCCATTCAAATTTCCACTGTGCTTCCTGCACCCCAAACCCCCTTCCCCTTTCAGTGCCTGTGTTTGCTGGGCAAGCTGTTTCTCGAGCACAAGCCTCGGGTGTACACCCTAGAAGGCCACACCTTCTATGTCCTCACAAGATCATCTGACACGTGGCACACCTTCATTGGCTACTTTGCCATCGTAAGTTGTCACCTTAATCTTTTTTAACATACCACTCCTCCTTCTCAAGCGGTCCTAGGGATTAGGACCGCTTAAACCTGTTTCGAACACTCTTAGACCTTCCTCCTCCACTCTCGTGCCAACCTCGGGAAGTGGAACGTTTAAGAAGCGGTGCTTTGGGGGTGCATGATCATAATAAAACTCAAGTCTCCCGTTCTAATCTCAAGTGTTCCATTCAAATGTCAAATCTCCCATTCATGGTTCTATCCATTTAGTTCTCCCCTCGATAGCATGCCAAAGTCAGGCCCATCCCCCCCCACCCACCCGCCCCCACTGCTTCCCCCCACCTTCCCCCTTCCCCCAACTTGAGTGAATCTAGACACGCCAAAGCCAGGGGCACCATAGCTCCCAAAGCAACCCCTTTCCCCATCTTCTCTTCTCCTCCTTCCCCCCCTCTGCTCCTTTCCCCTTCGCCTCTGTCTGCATGAGTCCTCCCCTGTTGATTCCAAACCAACCTCGCTCGGCACCCAGAAGGCTGACGCTGCAAGGCAACTCGCACAATCCAGAGGCGGGCACAGCAGGCTCCCCGGGCATCTTGGGTGCACATCTTCCCCAGAGGTGGGGAGACGCAGACTCCTGCACCTCTCGTGCATCTCTCCAGCCTCGCTGTGCATCTCCCTCTTCTCCCTTCCTGTCTCCAGGATTCTTCCCCCCTTGATTCCAAGCCGCCCACTCTTGGCACCCAGAGGGCGGAAGGCGAGACGAGCGACTCGCACAAGCCAGAGGCTGGCACAGCAGGCTCTGGAGGAGGAGGCTCCCCTCCCGTGCGTCTCTCCAGCCTCGTTGTGCTCCCTCCCTTCCAGCGACGCGGCTTCGGTCGATGGCTCATTTCAGTGGGTAATTGTTCTCCCACAAGTGATATCCATCCATGTGAGATTTCTCATGAGAATTTCTCACAATTTTTTAGAATTCTAAGAAAATCTCTCATGATGGCTCGTTTCAGTTGGTAATTGTTCGCCCGCACGAGATCTACCGGTAGTTTTGGCAAATTTTTTTGCTCAATTCATTGAAAGCCTTCCTTTCACCCTTCCCAGTCCAAAACTATCTGGTTCCTGCCATAACATGCACTATTATCTGGTTCCTGCCCTTCTGCAGCATACGAGTTGGCAGCAACGCGCCATCAGCTTCTCATGCCCAAGGCCCCCCTCTCGGATCTTGGCACGGTCAGTCCGCAGCTTGCTGGCTTGGTGGTTGGTGAGTGGAGAGTTGGTGAATTCTCCCCTTCGGGGTGTTGGCATGTTGGTCTGCAGCCTGTGGGTTGGCCTCAACTCAAGGCAGCATCAGCTTCTTGCACCCAAGGCTCCCCTCTCTGATCTTGGTAGGTGAATTGGGTGCTGGGTTCGATGGTTGGAGAGTTGGTTGGTTGGTGGCTTGAAGAGGAAGGGGGGCCTTATGCCTTTTCTCGTCCCCCCCCTTCCTCACCCCTTCCACCCCACCCCTTGCATTCCTTTCCGATGGCCTCAGAAGCTACTGTTGCTGGTGGCTGCAAAATTCAGGTGGTCTTTTTGGAGTTGCCCTCCTCCTCTGGGTATCCTTGCACACCCGCCTGGCCACCCCTTTGTATCCTGCTGTATCCCTTCAGGTTGCTCTCAGAAGCTTCTGGAGCTGGCAGGTTCTGTCTCGCGAGGGACCTCAGAGCACAGTCCTTTCCCTTCTCTCTCCCCCATTCCTCCTCTCCCCCCCCCCTCTCCCCCTCCCCCCCCCTCGCCCCCCCTCCAATCTACCCCCCTGCAGGTGGCTTTCAGAAGTTACTGGCGCTGGCAGATTCTACGCTCACTGAGGAACCTTCAAGGAAGCTGCAGCATTGATGTAGGGCCATGTCATCGTACCCATCGTGCTTCCCCCTTACACCTCTTCCCTCGTCCATCGGGCTTCCTCACTCTGCATCCTCTTACACCCTTGCAATGATACTCACTCACCTCGTGATAGTAGTCTAGTTTTGAGGCGCCTCAAAACTAGACTCCAATCTCACCTCTTCCCATCCCCACTTCGGCCCCGCTCCTCCCTCCCTCCTCCCTCCTCCCTCCTCCTTCCACCCTCCTCCCTCCTCCCTCCTCCCTCCTCCTTCCACCCTCCTCCCTCCTCTCTCCTCCTCCCTTGCACCCCCATCCCCCACTTCCCTCCCACTTCCCCCATCTAGGCACATCACATCCCTGTTTGCCGGCTCATAAGCATCTGACCGCTCCATCATTTGCCCGCTCCGATCGTCTGATCGCTCCCATCACTTATCCTCTCCCACCACCTTCCAGCATCCGAATGTATCCAGGTCGTCGGTTAAGTGGTTGAGTTTTTATACGTCTCTTTACTAAACTACTTAACCACCACCTTCCAACATCAGAATATATCCAGGTCCTCAGTCGTGCAACCAGAGGGCATCAGAAGACCCTCTACCCATCACTTGCACGCCCTTATGAGTCGACTCAAAAGCCATCACTTGCACGCCCTAAAAAATAGACTCCCGCCCGCCTCTTCCCACCCGCCTCTTCCCGCCCACCTCTTCCCGCCCACCTCTTCCCGCCCGCCTCTTCCCCTGCCATCTCGGTCACCAGCTGTCCAGGTGATCGGCAGTTCAACCAGAGGACATGAGAACGGCTCTCTAGCAGCTCAAGCTGGTTCCCCTCCCTCCTCCCCCTTCCTTCCTCCCTCTTCCCCCCCCCCCCGGCCCATCCCCATTGCCGGTCACCAGCATCTATCCAAGAGCTCGGCCATCCAACCAGAGGACATGAGAACGGCTCTCAAGCAGCTGAAGCTTGCAAAGTGGGTTGCCCAATGTGTTTGAGTTCCTCACCCATTCCCCCCCCCCCTCCTTTTGGTCACCAGCTGCTGTTTAAGTGCTCGGCTGTCCAACCAGAAGACGTGAGAACGGCTTTCAACCAGCTCAAGCTTGTTCCCCTCCCTCCTCCCCCTTCCTCCTCCCCCCCCTCCCTCCCCGTCACCAGCATCTATCCAAGAGCTCGGCCATCCAACCAGAGGACATGAGAACGGCTCTCAAGCAGCTCAAGCTTGCAAAGTAAATTGACACACACCCACACCCCTTGTCACGCATTCACACCCCTTGTCGCACACCCACACACACCCCTTGTCACACGTTCACACAAAATTCCTGCCGCTCATGCATTGCACTTGAATGCGTCAAATTCAATCCTCCACGCTCCGTGCTCTTTGATCAGAGCAATGCTCTTTGATTTTTGAGTCGACTCAAAAGGTGGTTTTTGAGTCGACTCAAAAGGTGATTTTTTGGTCGGCTCAAAGATCATCTTTGATCAGTGCAATGCTCTTTCAGCTCACCTCTCATGTCATTTACGAATGCATGCATCCATGCGTCCACCAGTCATCCATTCATGCATGTGCACATGCATCCATGCATTCACCCATTCACCCATCCATGCATGCATGCATCCATACGTTCACCCATTCACCCATTCACCCATCCATGCATGCACACATGCATCCATGCATTCACCCATTCTCCCATTCACCCATTCACCCATTCACCCATTCACCCATTCACCCATTCATGCATTCATGCATGCATGCATGCATGCATCCACCCACTCATCCATGCATGGTTTCTGCTTCCAGGTACTGCAATGACAGCGGCAACATCAGTGTGCCACCCAGTGTTCTGAGCAAGAAGACAAAAGTGAGTGTGCCGCCCAGGTCCTAAAAAAAAAATGCGATGGTGGGATTCTGTGAAAATCATGCAGAGCCAGAATGCACTCGTTCCAATGGGGTACCCGCGATTATCTGGGGTATACTTGCGAATGAGGAGGTGGCGAGAATGATCAGCTAATTGAGAACAAGAAAGTTACGAAGGGTCGGACAGGTGTAAAATACAGGGCAGGCTCATGCTCGGGTCGGGAAGGTTAAAGATGTGAGGCATGCATAGAGCATGAAAACTTTCACGTGGGAGTGAGTTTGTTTGCTCGTTTATTTCCATGTTGGCATGCCATGCTTCCTTCTGCTATTGGCCTCCCTTTTGCCTACTTGCCGTGACTTAAAGGTACTTCCATGCATCCTCTTGCTGCCATTGGCCTTTCGTCCCATGTGTGTTTCACCCAGCAGATGAACTTGGATGCCCTCCTTGTTGACGGATCACCAGCAAATGTTGTTATGATTGGGTTGGACGCATCATAGAAGCTGCAACTCAAGCCTTATATGCTAGGTACGCACTCAAGGCCAATATTTTTAGGAGGAAAATGTCATAGTATTTCGTTCAACAAAATGGCATTTGTTTTGCTTTAAGAACTGGTACCTGTAATCGACCCAAACGAGTCAACGGAAGCTGCAAGCATAGAACACTGGCACCTCTAGGGATACAGTCCGGAATCATTTTAGCATCAGGTTTTCGCGTCATATCCGTCGATGCCACGTGAGACATTCCGATTGATCATTCACAACCTCGGTCGAAGGATTCGTGGGCACGTTGAGGCGGCGGTGCCCATTGTGCAGAAACCCGAAGATGCGATTTGGGCCTGTGGTGGGGCGTGCGATATTTGCCTGCTTGTTGGGTTTGCTGCCGCAATGACCACAAGTCCCTTCGCGGCACGAGTGAGAAACATGTCGCTGTCACCAGCGGCAACAGCAATTTCCCTTTTCACTGCAGGTTCGTCGCGACTCGCTAGACTAAATGGTCGACTTGTCGTGACTTGATTGACAGATGGCTGGCTGTCTGACGTGGTTCCGCATTCATTCGACCTCTTGCCTTATCATCCCGCGTGACACACTGTGGCGATGCGGGTGTGTGCCAAACTGCTTGAACAAGTTCTAGTTCTACAAAATGTAGTAGCCCTCAATCTGAAAGTTCACTGTTGAAATGCCCGAACCACACGGGTGTCCCGCTAAGACTGCTTACACAGCTGCGGCCTTCAACTGGCTTACTCCCCCATACTTCCCAATCCCCCCCCACCCCTTCTTCTCTTGGTTGGACTTCCCCTAGATCCATGAAACAGGCCCCCACCTCATGATGGTTCCATCTGCATGTCCTACCAAGCGGAGCTCGCACTATACCTGAGAAAATCATATGTAAACTGGGCCGCATTTGGAGGGTCTAAACCACATAGAGCCCAGATATTAAATTAGCTCACACAAGTCAATGAGCAGAATTGGGGCTGGGCGGGATACTGTTCGGATACTGTTTGAATTTTCGGGGATACTGTTTGAATTTTCGGTTCTCTGCGGAGTCCTGTCCTCAGGGACCCTAGGTGAAATGATACTGGAGAAAGCAAATGTTTTTGGTCGAGTCCCGAAGCAGTGCCGAAAGGAATTAGGTGATGGATGGGTGAGTTATAATAAAAATGAAAATGGCTGGTTCAGTTCTTCCGTTTCACTAGCAGCATGTGTAAGTCGCAAGGGCTGCTGATCAGTCATCGCAACGTTACTTCCCTCCCCACCTCCCCACGTTGCCACCCACCTGACCACAGCTGAGTTCAATGCTGAGAAGCACCCAGCCAGAATCCAAACCAGACCTCTAGGTGTGGGAGAGAGGGGAAGGGGTGCAAATGGCAACGCCGGCGGTGGGCTGGCGGAGGGGAGGAGCACGCCAGCAGTAGCAGTGGCGCGGGGAGGCAGTGAGAACAGTACAGTGCTGTTCCCTCGACTGTGGGCGGGGCGGCTGCGCGGACTATTCAAAGCATCTCCCTCCCTCCCTCCCTCGCCTGGTTTACTAACAATTCAGTTCATACGGTTCACTGTGGTTCTCAGTGGCTACACGTGGCGAAGCACGAAAACCGCCCCCGACCACTATGTATCCTATTGAATCGTGTTCCGTGAACAGCGAGTGCCTTGTTCTGTCGGCCAACATTCGAGTCGAGGAATGTAAGGGGTGTCCTAAGAGTCCGTCCTAATGCGGTTGAGTGAGCTGGATTACGTTTCAGAAGGATCACACTATTATATAAAACGGTTCAGTAGGGTTTTGTCCAAAAAGCGAACACTTAGACATGCCTAAGAGGAGGCTGCTGGTGCCGCTGATGCTGCCCCGTGGTGATTCCCAGTCACCATCAGGGCTAATTTTTTTTCGTTTTTCAAGACCCAGCGGTCTCAGGATTCGCGTCACTAAAGACCCTGGAAATTCAGCATTCCATGGAATATCTCTCTTTAATTCAGGATTACTTTTACCTTTCAATCTGAAATTCAGGGTGTTTTTGGGGACTCCCTACATATCAGCGGAACCTGTGGACACTTCGAGTACCAGCAGGAAGGACATCCATGGAAGAACGATGGAGAATACAGAAGACACACTTGCTGCTGCTGCTGTCCCTCACGAACACACCAAGTCGACAATTTCCTTGTCAATCATGACAGAAATGCGTACAACCTAGAGGGACAGTGTGCAACCTGGCTCAGGTGATAATAAGGGGTTGTGATAGTCTGACAGCACTGCCCTTCCGTAGTTATGAAAGTTCCACGGGTTGCACTTTCAGATTGCGTGGAAAATTGGTCAGGGTTGACGAAGAAATTGGGGGGGGAGAGGGGGGGGGGGGGGGAAGGGTAGGGTTGCAATTCCAGCACGGGTAAGTTTCCATGCCAGTCGGATGGCCAGGATTAAATTTCGCGCAATCCGGATTGCTAAAGAAGTTCCTGGGAAACGCCCGGAATCAGTCAGAAATTTTGTACGCAAGAAACCCTTAAAATCAGAATTTCAGCGGGAAAAACCCGGAATGTACCTGACATTCCGGATGTTTACCCTTGAACCGAGAGCCCTGGTCACCATGTGAGGAACAGCGACGCACAAACCAGACTGACAACGCAATGCCACACCAACCACCGCATCAGGCATCTCGCCGCCGCTGGCAATGTTGCCTCCCTAAGATTTACACGAACACTGTAGCCAGCTTTGCGGGTGAGGTTCGTTTGCAGCAGCAGCAGTGCAGAAGGAGCTGAGCGGCACCCGAAATGCAAGAATTGAAGGACCCCCCACCCTAGGAACCTAAGGGTGCAGCCAGGCAAAGGCAGAGAAAGGCCAGCCCACTCACCTTCCGCAGCCTCTTCACGTCCGCTTCTTCTAGCTTAGCATATTCTCCGTCGCCTCCTTCCCATCGCTAGTTTTAGGGAATTGGCCTCTTGCATACCGAGCGATTTATTCGTGACGCTGATAGATCACGATACTGAGCGAGTTCTCCTACACTATACGAAGCCAGGGTTAGGATCTTAGAGTTCCGAGATTCCATTGTACATGAGATTCCACCAGCAATGGCGCTTCCCACGTCAGAGCTCTTCAATCGGTACTACTTCAGCGAGGTTCTTGGAGAGGGCCAGTCTGGCCGCATTTGGCGCTGCCGCGATAGAATCACGGGGGAGACGCTCGCGTGCAAGCAGGTCCGCAAACGCGGGATGTCACACGTGGAGCTCGCTGATTTGCGGAGAGAGGTTCAGGCGATGCTGATTCTTCGGGGGCACCCGAACGTGCTGTGCTTGCGAGGACTCTACGAAGACGACAAAGCGGTGTACATGATAACGGAGCTGTGCGCGGGCGGCGATCTGTTCGCGCTTATAGCGGAGCACGAGGGGCTGGAGGAGTCTGCCGCGGCGCGCCTCTTCCTTCAACTAGCGAGGGCTGTGCGGTGGTGCCATATCAACCGCGTCGTGCATCGCGATATAAAGCCAGAGAACATTCTTGTCGTTCCCCCCGAGCTTTCCCCCGACTCCGCGCCCTTTCCCCCAAAGCACAACCGGAGAAAGTCCCGCCTCTCCGACAACGAGTCGTCTTCCCCTCCTTCCTCCCCCGAGTCCCCCGCTTTCTCCGCCTCCCCCGATGGCGTCGAGACTCAGGCTGCTGGCAGAAATGCCCCGCGCCCCGAAGATATGGGAATCCGGCTGGCCGACTTCGGCTTGGCGTTTCCGCTACAACCGGGTTCAGCTATTATCGGAGCGGCCGGAAGCGCGCCGTACGAAGCGCCGGAGGTTCTGGCGCACGAGCCGTACAACTACTGCGCGGACATCTGGTCGCTTGGCGTGTTGCTCTACGCGATGCTCTCCGCTAACTGGCCGGCTTTTCCCGACGACAATCGCAAGCTGCTGCCGTCAGATCTGCAGCCGAAGCCATGGCCGTCGATCTCGTTCGAGGCGAAGGATCTGATCCGTCGGATGCTAACGGTGGATCCTATGGACAGGATTGATATTATCGGCGTGCTCGAGCATCCATGGTTGGCGAAACAGCTCGCTCCGCCTCGGCTGGAGGCTCCGTCGCCGGCTCCGTCGCTGGCTCCGTCGCCAGCCCCAGCACAGTCACAGCGACCAAAGACGAAGTTACGGTCTGCGACACCCCAAAGCGAAACCGTGAAGCGCTGGGAGCCTTCGTCCAACGCTGTCGCCGTGCCTCGAGCATTGAGCGTCGTAGTCGCAACAGCTGCTGCGACGGAGTCGCCGAAGAGTGAACCTGTTTCGCCAACGACCAGTGTGAGCCCTGGCGGGCCCGCTACTGTCTGCCGTGAGAACGGCCAAACCCTAAAGCTAGAATCCCCTCACGATCGACCGCAATCAGTGGCCGTGAAGCTGGCGGAAGTTCCGCGATCACACAGCAATGTGTTGCCCAAGTCAGCACGTGATGTGCAAGCGACTGTCGCGACGACTCCCGGGCGATCCAGGCAAACCAGAAGATCCCGTCTCCAGCGACATTCCTCGCAAATCGCGCAATCCCATTTATCGTCGACTCTCGGTGGTGACCACGTTTCGGAGGCTGGAAGATTTGAGGGTTGTGGTGTTTCCAACTCCGCCGCAAGGCATTTTACCCAGTCGGCTCTTGTCGGGGATATAGCCAGGGAATCTGACGGTAACTGTAACGGAGCCGACGGAGACGACGGAGTAGACGGGGAAAGCAAAACGTCAAACGATCAGGGTGAAAGTGAGGGCGATTTCCCCTCCCCTTCATCTCCGCCCTCCAGAACTTCTGATGAAGTCCCAAACGCAGCAGAGCCGCCCACATCTTCTGGCAGAGGGTGGTGTGAGGCGTTTGAGCATCAAGAAAAGGAGAGGGAGGGAGTGGATAGCAGTATTTTATCATGCCGTATCATGCCTGGAAGACGATCCAGGTTCAAGAACCACCTAGAAGACCCTCCCCTGCCTGCAGCCCTATCTTTATCATCATGCTCTTCAGTGTCATCGGGCTCAGACCTTTAGACTATATAGCTACCGTATCAGGCCCAAGATATCAAGTTTTTTTCCCTGATTTTGCCTTTTTCTGGGTGTTCGTGTATATCTACCTTGATGATGTTGGAAATACTTCAAGGACTTGAAACCACAGGCTAAAATAGCAAAGGGGGGGTTTCAAGTGCGCCGCTCTTGAAAGTGGGGGCACTTGATAAACTCTGGGGTGCTAGTGCGAAACTGCCATAAGAAGTTTGGGGCAGACGGGCAGGTTTGAATCACAATATTACGCACCTACCGGAGGTTGGGTGATATTGAAACGCGTGCGACGAGGCGGTAAAGCCATGTACGACAAACCAAAATTTCCGCCAAAATGGTGAGAGGAATCCCATTGTAGCCGGGGCGTGTTTAGGTTCGATCTGGTCCAACGCCAAGTTATGCGAATAAGCAGAACTTGGATGAAACTGTTAAGAACTTAGGATGCTAGGTCCCTAAAGTTAGGACACTAGCTTAGCTAGGATAGGAGCAAGGCCGCCATGGAACGGCGCTAGGAAAAACGGATCTAGGAGTAGGAGGAAAGTCGAGAAGAAAGAGAGTTGGATTAGGAAGAGAAGGGAGTACAAGGAGGGGTTTGTACCCCCTACAGAAAGGTTCAGTAGCAACCTACCAAGCCTATATAAAATTATAACTTATATAATTTTAACACACCCCCTAGGCTTGGTAGTGTCAAGCCCACTCACACCCCCACACCCGCACCCAACCCACCCCCTAACCCCGCACACCCTCAGGCTCGTGCTTAGCCGGGTATCTGACCCTCAGGCAAAGCGTTGACACACCCCCGTACACGAGGCAGCCGACGGCGTCTAGGCGGGTCAGCGACAAGCAGCCGCGGAGCTCTGGCTCAAGGCGGCTGGGTCGCGGACAACAGGCGGCGACCGCCGCGACTGAGGGCTCTCGGTGATGTGGCAACGTCCGGGCAGAAGACAGCAGCTGCGACAGGAGGAGGGGAAGACGCAGGGGGAAGGGAGAATGGGGGGGGGGGGGGGGGGGGGGCGGGGCGAGTCTTCAGCGACGCGCCATAAATGGCGCGGCGCTTACTGGCGGGAGGACGTCGTCCTGAGGGACGCCCGTGGCTGGCGAGCGGGCGGCAGGCCCGCCGACGCCACAGACGTCGCTCGGCCGGCCGCAGCCCGACGATGCCGTCGGCTGCCGTAGACGCCGCCGCAGCGCACCGTCAATGTCGCAGCGGTGAGGCGGACGGGCGACGGCTGCACCAAGGGGCCGTCGCGACACCTTGGCGCCGCGACGGCAGGCAACGAGGGGCCGTCGCGACACCTTGGTGCCGCGACGGCGGGCAACCAGGGGCCGTCGCGACACCTTGGTGCCGCGACGGCAGGTAACAAGGGGCCGACGCGACATCCTGGCGTCGCGACGGCAGGCAGGCAGAAAACCGCGAAGGCTGCGAATGCAGCAGGAGTACGCAACGGGAACGTAGGGAGAGGGTCCGGTGGACACGACCGGCTCTGATACCATGTTAAGAACTTAGGATGCTAGGTCCCTAAAGTTAGGACACTAGCTTAGCTAGGATAGGAGCAAGGCCGCCATGGAACGGCGCTAGGAAAAACGGATCTAGGAGTAGGAGGAAAGTCGAGAAGAAAGAGAGTTGGATTAGGAAGAGAAGGGAGTACAAGGAGGGGTTTGTACCCCCTACAGAAAGGTTCAGTAGCAACCTACCAAGCCTATATAAAATTATAACTTATATAATTTTAACAGAAACATGCATAGAGAGGGGACTACCTACGTCAATATGCGTGACGCGAGAACGGGGTTCCGAACAGGTTGACTTCACAAGGCTTGTGGAACCTCGAGAGTCTTTAGCAAATAAAATTGGTATGTAACTCGTACACAATGTAATAGCATGTACCTGGAATGTTATGAATAGCATACAACAGTATCAAAATCACAATGTAATATGCAAAATGCATTTTGCGCCTCTGTGGTTTAGAGAAACAATGCGAGGTTTTATTGCAAAATTAGGCCACGAAAATATGTGATTGCAGCGAGCAATACCCCTGCATGCATCATTCGCATATGTTGAAATGGCAGCATGGGCAGAATTCCCCATACCAGTGGCAGCAGAGATACCGTAACTGCAGCATTGGCGGCAGTGCTGGCATAGAGGGACATAAGTGAGAGGGGTAGCGGATGGAGGAAAAGCTTGACAGGGTGGGAGAAAAAGGAAGGGATGATGGCAGAAAGGATGGGAGATGGGAGCGAGGTCAGGAAAAAAATCATTGCCTCGACCACAAGGGGATGCGGCACAGGAGAGAGCCGGGGCACATCAGAGAGGGGGGGGACAGCAGAGAGAGGGGGGACAGCAGAGAGGGGGGGGGGCAGCAGAGAGCAGGGGGATAGCAGAGACCGGGCAGGCAGCAGAGAGGCGGGGGACAGCAGAGAGCAGGGGGACAGCAGAGAGCGGGCTGGCAGCAGAGAGCAGGGGGACAGCAGAGAGTGGGGGGATAGCAGAGAGCAGGCAGACAACAGAGAGGGGGGGGATAGCAGAGAGCAGGCAGACAGTAGGGAGCGGGGGGGTGGCAGAGAGCAGGTAGACAGCAGGGAGCGGGGGGGTGGCAGAGAGCAGGCAGACATCAGAGAGCTGGGGGATGGCAGAGAGCAGGCAGACAGCAGAGAGCGGGGGGATAGCAGAGAGCAGGCAGACAGCAGAGAGCGGGGGATAGCAGAGAGCAGGGGGACAGCAGAGAGTGGGGGGATAGCAGAGAGCAGGCAGACAGCAGGGAGCGGGGGGATGGCAGAGAGCAGGCAGACAGCAGAGAGCGGGGGGATAGCAGAGAGCAGGCTGACAGCAGTGAGCGGGGGGATAGCATAGAGCAGGCAGACAGCAAGGAGCGGGGGGATAGCAGAGAGCAGGCAGACAGCAGAGAGCAGGGGGATAGCAGAGAGCAGGCAGACAGCAAGGAGCGGGGGGATAGGAGAGAGCAGGCAGACAGCAGAGACCGGGAGCTTGATTCCAAATATTAAAGCCCTCTTACTGCCAAGCACTCCCCCTCTACCCGCCATCTGTTCTCCCTCACCCTGCCCTTTGTTCCCCCTCCCCTTGCCCTTTGTTCCCCCTCTCTTTGCCCTTTCTTCCTCCTTCCCTCGCCCTCCGTTCTCTGGTCTTCCTCGCCCTACTTTGCTCTCTCCTCGCTCTCTCATCCCCCTCTCGCGGCCCTCCCAACCACCAATGCTCGTCCCCCCTCTTCCAGCCCTCTCATCCGCCTTCCCTCTCCCTCTCCCACACCTCTCCTCGCCCTCGGGTATTTTTACCCTCTTCCTCCCCCCCCCTCTCTCTAACCACTCTCCTCCCTCTCTACTTGCCCTTGGCTCCGAATCTCCTCACCCGTATCCCCCTCTCTCCGTTCCTTCAATTCAGCCCTCCCTCATCCCCTCGCACACCCCTCCTCGCCGTTGGTTAACCCTTTCCTCCCCCTCTTTTCCGTGTCTCTTCCCCCTCTCATCCCCCTCCCCTCACCCTAACATCTGCATCTTCCCCCCATCTTATATGCCTTCCCTCACCCTCTCCTGCTAGTGTCTTCTCCCTCGGTTACCCCCTTTCCACTACCCCTCTCCCCACGTCCCCTCACCTTCCGCTCTCTGCCCTCCGCGCCCTCCCCTTGCTCTCTTCTCGCCCTCTCTTCCCCCTCTCAAGGCCCTCCCAACCACCGTTCCCCTTCTCCCCACCATCCGTTCCCCCTCTCCCCGCCATCCTTTCCCTCTCTCCCCGCCATCCTTTCCCCCCTTCCCCGCCGTCCTTTCCCCCTCTCCCCGCCGTCCTTTCCCCCTCTCCCCGCCATCCTTTCCCCCTCTCCCCGCCGTCCGCCCCCCCTCTCCTTGCCATGCGTTCCCTCTCTTCTCGCTTTCCGTTCCCCCTCACTTCGCCATTCGTCCCCCGTTTTCTCTGTGCTTTCTGTTTCCTCTCTCCTCGCCATCCGTCCCCTGTCTCCTCTCTCTCCTCCCTCTCTTCTCGCCATCCGTCCCCCGTCTCCTCTCTCTCCTCCCTCTCTCGTCGCCATCCGTCCCCCGTCTCCTCTCTCTCCTCCCTCTCTCGTCGCCATCCGTCCCCCGTCTCCTCTCTCTCCTCCCTCTCTCGTCGCCATCCGTCCCCCGTCTCCTCTCTCTCCTCCCTCTCTCGTCGCCATCTGTCCCCCGTCTCCTCTCTCTCCTCCCTCTCTCGTCGCCATCCGTCCCCCGTCTCCTCTCTCTCCTCCCTCTCTCATCGCCATCCGTCCCCCGTCTCCTCTCTCTCCTCCCTCTCTCGTCGCCATCTGTCCCCCATCTCCTCTCTCTCCTCCCTCTCTCGTCGCCATCCGTCCCCCGTCTCCTCTCTCTCCTCCCTCTCTTGTCGCCATCCGTCCCCCGTCTCCTCTCTCTCCTCCCTCTCTCGTCGCCATTCGTCCCCCGTCTCCTCTCTCTCCTCCCTCTCTCCTCGCCATCCGTTCCCCCTCTCGTCGCCATCTCCCGCCTCTTCTCGCCACGTGTCTTTCTCTCGTCGCCATCCGTTCCCCCTCTCCTCGCTACGCGTTCCCCCGATCTTCTCGCTATCCGAGGCCCAATCCCCTTGCGGGAGTGTTTCATGGCCCGTGCCATTTAATCTCCGGCTATATACCTCCGCTAGAGTCGTGGGGCCTAATGGCGGGTTTTACAACAGTTTTGGTACGCGAACTTAGGCAGGCACTATGTCTTGTGCGCCGATCTTAGCTCGTCCCAATGTGCACGTCGGTATTACGCCCAAGGTATCATTTTCTTTAGGATAAAAAACCTCCCCCTCCTAGTGCTGGGAGTTGGTCGTCGATGGGCGGGCGGTTTCCTTTTTTTGACCTGTGCTGTGGCAGCTATGGCTTCCTAAGCTTGACTGACTACGACATAATCTCCTCCTCTGAATCGTGAAGCACACCCATGGAGCTCTTGAACGACGGGTTTGAGGGTGGTAGTCGCATTCGACAAATTGTGCGACTTTCACACTTGTCGCACCGTGTTCCGCCGAAGTCGTTGATCAGTTTGGTGCGTCGTGGCCCTTTCGCTACGTTTCAAACTGTCGCAAAGTGTTTTTTTTTCGTTTCGTTTGGTGTGTAGTGCTC